CCCCCCATCCTACACCCCACCCGCTACCCCTGTGCCACAGTGCACATCTTCCATTCCCTTGGACAGCTCGTTCCTCTTCATTGTCTCTATTAAGGGACAGTCTGCTTCTGTTGATGCTGGAATTGTGTGCATTTCTTTTTCACATTGTCACAGCTCATTCCCATCTAACATTTAATGGCTTTATGTTCCCAATAGTTACGAACAACCTCTGTGGTGGGGTATCCACCAGAGAAGACTGCTTGGACAGAGATTTAGGCCAATAGAAAGTCTTTATTAGTCAGCTGGCAACTATGCTGGGTGGTATGGGTTCCATTGCAGCCCTAAGCCTTTCTCAGGGTGAGCTTTTAAACATAAAATCCATGTATTTTGGGTTGACATAGTTCAGTTAACAAGAACAGTTAGCCAGAAGCAGAACAACAGAAGCCAAAAAGCAAGGTTAGTACTGTTAATATTCTGACCTGCCCCTTGGAAACCAGTGTTAGTTTTCTGACCCGCCCCTTGGCACTGCCCTGCGTCCTGATGTAAAAGCATCATTTTGAGGAAAGGCTCCTCCCCTTCCCCTCTCTTTCCTGCTTTTCCCCCATAAGGTGTGGCAGCCTCTCTTCTCTTCCACTCTCCCCTATTTCCTGTCTTTCTCTTTATCTCTATTATAATAAACCATTTCTGTGAGGAAGCAGTGTCTGGCTCGTGAATACCTGGCTGCTGCCACCCTGCTGCCATGCCCACACACCATGTTTTCCTGCACACATGGGATACCCTCGGGGTCCCCCCCCTTGCAATATATCATAACAAGTACCAAGTACATTTCTTTTTCTTGTTTGTTTGTTTTTGTTTTTTGTTTTTTCAAGACAAGGTTTCTCTGTGTAGATTTGGAGCCTGCCCTGGATTTCGCTCTGTAGACCAGGCTGGCCTGGAACTCACAGAGATCCGCCTGGCTCTGCCTCCCAAGTCTGGGATTAAAGGCGTGCACCACCACCACCTGGCTAACAGGAACATTTCTAAAGTCCATAGTTCTGGATTAGGTCTTTGGTTTTGTTTTAGCAGATGGTGCTGTCTAAGTGCTGAGTTTTATAGCCTGAATGCTACTTTCATCATGAAGTCAGTTGTGCTAACATATGGGAACCTATTGTACCCCCTTCTCATACTGATGTACTTAGCAGCCTATTTCCTTAACATGTATGACCTACAGACACATACACCCCTCTCCAAACAATGCATCTAGCAACCTGCTCCCATCTCTGAACAATGGTATAAGCTTCCCAACCCCTGTAATGATCAAATTTAGTTAATTTCTATTCAAGTATACTCTAAGGATATCTACTATGCAGAATAGTTTTAAGTCCAAATTGGGCCCCCAAATGGCAATTCTGGTGTCAATGTCCTAAACAGGACTCTGACTTGTAACAGAAGGATTGTTAAACCTCTGAAACTGTAAGCCAGTCCCAATTAAATGTTTTCCTTTATAAGAGTTGTCATGGTCAGGGTGTCTCCTCACAGCAATGAAACCCTAAGACAGAAATTGGTACCATGGATTAGGGCATTGCTGTGACAGGCCTGGCCATGTTTTTGGTATTTTGGGTTAGGAAAGCATTGGAATGCTTTAAGTGCTGCTTAATGGGTCATGCTAGTAGGAGCATGGAAGACAGTGGTGATTTGAACTGTGGGGGCCTGACTTAAGAGGTTTCAGAAGAGAAAGATTTTAGTGTGTTTTTGTGACATTTTGGTGAAGAATGTGGCTGCTTTTTGCCCTTGACTGGAGAGTCTGCTTGAGTCTAAAGTGAAGAGTTTGGGATTAATTCTTTGGGCAGAGGAAATCTCAAAATAGCCTAGTGTAGACTCTATTATGTGGTTATTAGTGGTAACTCTAATGAAGATTTATAATGAAAAGGAGCAACCTGAGTACATAAAAATATAAAATGTACAGATTTAGGAGAAAGGGGTCACCAGGAAGTGGAATGGAGTTAAGTTCTGTGTTCTAGGAGATAAACAGATGAAGAAATGAAATAAAGGGCGGTGACCTCAGGGCAAGACTGCACCCAGCATAGTTTTTAAATTGTGAAAAGGAAAGTTTAGGTCCAGGTGTGGTGGTGATATTGTGTCACCCAATATATTGTACACCTTAATAAACTTATCTAGGGTCACAGGACAGAACAGCACTAGACAGACAGAAAACGGTGGCACACACGCTTTTAATCCTATCACTTGGGAGGCAGAGATCCATCTGGATCTCTGAGTTCAAAGCCACACTGGAAACAGCCAGGCATGGTGACACAGGCCTTTAACCCCAGGAAGTGATGGCAGGAAGCAGAAAGGTATATAAGGAATGAGGACCAGGAACTAGAGCCTGTTTAAGCTTTTAGGCTTTTAGCAGCAGTACAGCTGAGATCCATTTGGATGAGGACTCAGAGTCTTCCAGTCTGAGGAAACAAGATCAGCTGAGGAATTGGCAAGGTGAGGTGGCTGTGGCTTGTTCTGTTTCTCCAATCATTCAGCGTTTACCCCAATACCTGGTTCTGGGTTTGTTTTTATTAATAAGACCCTTTAAGATTCGTGTTACACATGCCTTTAATCACATCACTCGGAAGACAGAGGCTGGCAGATTTCTAAATTCAAGTCCATCCTGGTCTGTAGAGCAAGTTCCAAGACAGCCAAGCTTAGGCAGTGAAAGAAAACATCGAAAGCAGAAAGCGGGTAAAGATGTAATTGGAGGAGGGAGCCCATGTTCCCGCCCCAGCAAGCAGTGTAACTTGCCAGCTTTGGCCACATGGTTCTGGCTTTGGAGTCAAGGACAGAAAAAAGGGGTCATGTGATCTCTGTAGCTACAAATAGCTGCTGAGGCCAGGCAGGGGTGTCTCCGAATGGAGGCCCAGAGAGGCCATTGTGTGAAGCTGTGAAGGGGAAGCCTGGATTGCCTTGGAGAACCCAAGATGTTGAAGATGCCAGAGTTGTGGGATACCTGCTGAGGAGAACTGCGAACAGGGAGTGGAAACCAGCCCAAGAGAAACAACTGTGTTGGTTGCAGTCAACAACGCTGAAAGGGGGTTGCAGATCTGAAGAGCATTTTGACATCAGACATGAAGACGCAGTTGGAGTTTGCCCAGCAGGTTTTCGGTCTTTCTTTGGTTCTGTATTTCCCCACTACATTCTCTTCCTTACTATTTGGAATGGTATTTTATATCCTGTGTGTAGTAGTTTGAAAGAAAATGACCCCTTAAAGGGAGTGGCTCTATTAGGAAGTGTGGCCTTGTGGAGTAGGTGTGGTCTTGTTGCAGGAAGTGTGTCACTGTGGAGGCAGCCTTTGAGGTCTTATATATTCTCAAGATACCAGTGAGATGACCATTTCCTTTTGCCCACAAGATGCAGGACTCTCAGCTACTTCTTCAGCATCATGTCTGCCTGCACGATGCCTTGTCCCTCAATGATGATAATGGACTGAACTTCTGAACTGTAAGCCAGCCCCAATTAAATGTGTTTTTTTTTTTTAATTAGAGTTGCTGTGGTCATGGTTTGTCTTTGCAGCAATAGAAACCCTAACCAAGACTCTGCCATCATATGTTGGATGTATGTGTTCTGCTTTTTGATTTTGATTTTACAGGGGATTACAGGTGAGAGATTGCATGAATATCAGAAGAGACTTTGAACTTAGGACTTTTAAACAATGTTGAAACTGTGATAGTCTATGGGGACA